TAGGCGCAGCTGACCAACCTTGCAGAAGAATATAATTAGAAAAAGAAATAATAAGATATGATAAATGAAATTTCATCGAAGTCGGTTAGATTTTCGACTAAAATTTTATCTGTGCGATTCCGAAGCACCTATTGCTAGCCTCGAAAAATTCTATTAGCGCGGAATTCCACAGGTGGTTAAAGAGCCGAAAGAGAACGGGGGAGGAAACTGAAAGGAAAGGAGACGGCAAGGCGGTGCAGGATCGAAGGGCAGCGCCTGTGAGCAAGGTGTTTACCATTCTGGCCGAAAATAAAGTACAAAGGCCAGATTCCCTCTTGGCATAACTGGCAACAAAAACCAGAATCACCGTCCATGCATTCCTCGAGCCTCGCCATTGGCGTGGCTTGACTTAGGCCGCCGCGATTAGGCAAAAGGCCAGCAATAAGTGACATTTCTACCTGCGACTAGTTTTCTGCAGGTAGATAAATTAATAAATAGACGGTATCTTCTTTGTAGGTCGAAGATCATCTAAGAACGTCCAGACTAAATTCGATGTAAGAAGAAAAGAAGGATTGTATGATATATCGTGTACAAAAAGGTTTAAGTCGAGGTTTAACTGTACGCGTGTAAATAGAAGAAAGAATATAATATAAAAGAAATAAGTATCAATATATAATAATGATAGTGCACAACATAGCTGTTACATTGTAATATTACATTAAAAACGGAAATAAATTAATATATATAAATCTTATAGACAATCATATATAATTTTTAATAGTGATATTTAAATATTCTCATGTACATGTCTTTATCATATTGTATATCTCATATGTAGCACAAATTTAAAAAAAAAACCGTTTTAAGTAATTTAAAACTTGCTCTTTGCGCAAGATACAATTTTAACGCCGACCCCGTTTACCAGCTTTTAACCTAATCGCGCGTCTCGCGGTCGATCGCGCAGATTCGGTGGTCGCCGCCAACACAAAGCTAATTATGGGGACCGCCAATAGCCGAAAATTCAA